CCATCTGTTACCCAAGTGCCAAATTTGGGCTGAAATTTAGTGAATTTCTAGTGTTCACTAAAGGATTAAAACCCTGTACTTGTCACCAATGTTCCCTTTAATTTTTCCCACCCACATGCAGAATGAATGAATTTTGTTATGTGCACCAATATGGAGGTGATGTGTGACACAGCGGGGTGGGGCCAAGGAATTCGGTGTGTGGGAGGGGGCTAGGGCTGGGGCAGAGGGTTGGGATATGAGGGCTCCGTCTGGGGGTGCGGGCTCCGGGGTGGAGCTGGGCCTGAGAGGTTTGGGGTGCATTGGTGCTCCCTGGGGCTACAATGGAGAGAGGCATTTCTCCCCGCCGGAGCCCTGAGCACCTATGCAGTGCTTAATAGGCAGCCGTGTGGCCATGCAGCTTAGAGGGAATTTAGCTTGTCACCATGTACTTTGATCCCTTCCCCACAGATTGAATTAGGAAGAAATGAAATGGCATTTTTCATTTCATTTTTTTTTCCCTTTAGCTTCCCCAAAGGAAGTTTGCTTACTTCTGGGGGAGAGATTCATGCAGAAAGTAAAAGTGAACTTATCCTTCTTAAGGCTTTCTTCCTTTGTTATTTGAAATATCTTTTGACTGACCTTTCCAGAATGTACTTTGGATGTTGTAACCAAGAATCTTTGATTGGCTTCATTTTTATATTCTTTTCATTCGTGTATCTCTTGTCCTCTTCACCTTTGTCAGTATCTCATTCAGAAGCAGTGCAGAACTGGAAGAGACACAGTATACAGATAATTCATTCAGATCAACACAAGTACATTCTTTTTGTACCATGTGTGTTTTTAAACTAGGGGCCTGAGGTTTTAGACACAAAAACATATATGGTATTGCACATACTCTGTTTGTACAATTGCCACATAATTCAGGTTATGAGCACAGTTACCCAGGATGCGTGTGCAATCACAGTAATTGCATGCATAAGTGAGAGGTACAATTGTGTGCTTTCCTCTTTAAAAAATAAAATAAAATAGTAGTAGTCTTGCCTGTGATTAACAGGAAGGAAGGATGTGCTCTACAGTGATCCTGCTGAAAGGTTAGATCCATCAATAAAAGTGTTATCAGACAGAGCAGCATGTTCATGGAAATCTTGCACATTTGTTCCATATTCAGTTACCTAAGCAAGCCACTTTAATTAAAAAGGTGACATTTTGATTTACAACCATATAGTTTCATGGCTTTGTTTTGATTTTGCTCTGCCTTAGATTCCAGAAACTGCATCATTTCCCAGCTCAGTGAAGAAGCAAAAGTAAGTTGTAAACAACCGTTGAGGGGGAAAGGGTTGATTTTTCTCCTTTTTCTAATGTAAGAAGCAAAATACAAATGTACCTCAGTCCTGACTTGCAGACCCTCTGTTATTCCTCTCATGTTCAGGGACTGTTATGTGGGTGAGATTGGATAGCGTCTTTTTTATGTGAACAAATGCCACTCAAAGACTCAAGGCTAAATAAAATTAAAGCCACTGTAATTCTGAATAAGAACGTCTACACGGGCTTAATGTGGTTCAACTAATCCATTTTAAATTCACACTTTTTAGTTAGTTTGGATTAATTTTTCTGAATTCCCTGTGTAAAACAAGCCCTTAAAGGCTACTACTAAACAGTTAGCAAAACAGGGATTAATGTTACAAGTTATGTGCCTAATCTAGGTTTGTCTTTGATTTTTGGAGGTATTTACTACTATGGGGAAGGGCTCCTATCAGTGAAGAGTCCAAAGTTGAATGCAAAATTCCAAGTGTGGCTGCAACAGGGTCATAGAAAGAAGCTATTTACTTTCTAATCCATTATTATTATTTATTTTGTGTATTGTGGTAGTGTGTAGGAGCCTGAGTGATGTAACAAGACCTCCTTGTGCTTGGCACTGTACAAATACAACAAATAGTCACTGCCCCCAATGAGCTTACAGTCTGTATGCAGTCTGTGTCTATGCAGCCCAAAGCTGTGCTTGAAAGTAAAAAGGTTTTAGTGATGTCAAGGCTTGGTATATACAAGTAGTGCTGCAGCAGTGGTGATAGATGAGCAGATGTAGAATTTGTAGCAGAAGGAAAGTTTAGGGTAAAAGATGATGCCAAGATCACTGACAGTAAAGGCAAATAGGTGTTTTGAATTGATATGAGGTTGTGCTTTACTATCCAAATAAGGAAAACACACATGCAGAAAAGACTAACTGGAGTCTCATAATCTTGGCTAGAATTGGCAAGGAAGTTTATATTAATGGAGCCCAGTCTGGCATCTGCAGGTGCTTAGGTAGCACTGTTACAGGCTAACCAGCTCTGTTAAACAAAAGGTGAGAGACAAATGTGAAATGCCCTGAAATTCTTGGCTGTATGATGAAATACACTGTGTTTGTTTTAACCTTTTCTCATGGAGAAATTCTGTTTGATTCTTCCCTTTAGAATGCACAGCTGTCTTTCAGCAAAGAACATGAGGAAAATGTGCAACTACGATCTGAAATAACAGCTCTGCGAGAGACAGCAGAGAAAGTACAGGTAATGAAAGTAGCATCTCTTACCATATCACGGAGCTAAAATATGGGAGACAGGATCTACAATGACTAATTGAGTGTGATTCTCACATCTTGGTATGCCTCCCTGGTCTGGGGTAAAGCTACACAATGAAAGCTGCACAGTCTGCTTGCTGAGCTGGTGACAATGAAAAGGCTTCAGATACAGATGTTAAATATGAGGACTGAGTTTCTTGATGTTGTAATTTGAAATCCCAAAATATTCGCTTTAGTTTATGGTCTCTGTTTTAGCCACGATTCTAACATAGGCTTCCATTCTTGTGGCTGCTTTTATGGATATACTTAAACTTCTAAGAAGGCGCAATTTCTACATATTGAAAAGGTATATTAGGGCTGATTCTCCATTACTTGAAGACTTTAAATCAAGACTGGATAGCTTTCTAAAACAGATGTGATCGCTCAAACACAACTTATTGGCTTGATGCAGGATTTACTGGATGTGTTATTATGGCCTGTGTTAGGCAGGAGACAAGATGATTATAATGGTCCCTGCTGGCCTTAGAATCTATGAAAGACACTTAATTGCTGCTTTAGTAAAAACAAGATGTGCTGCAAAATGTTTGGAGTTTTTGGCTATCTAATGCTCTCCTTCACTTCCATCCTGTACAACAGTTTTTCTGTTTAGCAGCAGCTCTCCAGTGAAGGAGAGCATTAGATAGCCAAAAACTCCAAACATTTTGCAGCACATCTTGTTTTTACTAAAGCAGCAATTAAGTGTC